AGACAATCAGATCCTGATTTTGAGGAGCGCGGTGTACTCCAGTTGAAGTCAATGATAACTGTAGGTGCTCAGCATCTCTGAAATATTAAGCTCTTGATGTTTTAAGTTGGGCAGCACAAAACAGTAGACACTTGAAATATTTGGTTTTTATTTCTGTGGCCTTGATTAAATTCAGACATTTCACCGGTTTAACTTAAAATCAGTTTTTAAACCCATTAAGTTAAACTGTTGGGAGTTTGTGTGTAGACACTTTGGGGGGAGGGATAGCTTAGTGGTTTGAGCTTTGGCCTGCTAAACCCAGGGTTGTGAGTTCAATCCTTGAGGGGGCTTCTTAGGGATCTGGGGCAAAATCAGTACTTGGTCCTGCTAGTGAAGGCAGGGGGCTGGACTTGATGACCTTTCAAGGTCCCTTCCAGTTCTAGGAGATAGGACATCTCAATTTATTTATTTATTTAATCAGGTTTTTAAAAAAAAAGCTTCAACTGAAATAAACAACTATTGAACCAAAATCGTATTGGCATGGCTCCCACCTGAGGTGCCTTCTTGCAGCAGGCCACGCCACGATAGGCAAACCTGCCTCAGCTTCCTTCCTTTGGAGGCCCCAGTAACTCCATGACAGTTCCCTTGCATAATAATACACTTCCTTGGGCCAGTTTTATAAAAATGTAGTGCAAAATGGTCCATAACAAGTCCGTAAATATAGTTCATTTATCACTGTCTGCGTATGTGCATGGCAGGTAGTCTTTAAAATCCAACACCTTCTAGTCCATCCACAAGTGCGTATCATTCTCCTGTGTCTTTCTACCACACCCAAGCTCTTTGATCCCGGCCTGTCCTTTTACCAGGACAGCCACCCCAGCCCTTCCAGCTTGAGTGCAACCCTTCTCTTCCCAGCAGGAACCCCCACAGCTTCCCTGCTGGGAGTTCATCCTCACTAAGGAAGCATCCCTAACTGCCCCGACTCTCTCATTGTTCCCCTAGATGCAGCTCTCCAGTTTGGAGACTTGAGCAGGTAAGCCCCTGTGCTGTTCCCCTGTCTTTCCAGCCCTCAGTGTTGGCTTTTAGCCTTAGAAGTTGGCAAGCAATTCCCTTGTGCTGTTCTGCTACCTTCAGCCCTCTGGCTCCTCTTCTCCTGACTGACTCAGGCAGCTCTTAGCTGACCCATTTCCTCACTGGGCCTTCTGTCTCAGTCTGTAGCCATTTATATGGCTCAGGTGCCTTTTCCTAAAACCCAATTAGCAGTCAGCTGACAATCACAATTGCACTGGCCTCTACCCTCTTAAAGGACCAGTGTCATCTTGCGAGGAAGCATCTATACACAAGCTTGCACCAGTTTAACTAATCTGATTTAAAAACTTAGTTATGAGTATAATTTTTTTTGTGTGAAGTTCCCTATTCTGTAAAATGTGGACAAAACCTCTCTCTCTCTCTCTCTCTCTCTCTCTCTCTCTCTCTCTCTCTCTCTCTCTCTCTCTC